TGTGTGACTGTCACCCTTTCCAATCATCATCGTACATTTCATTTTTTAAAATAAGCTTCGTTGAATATATTTAAGGTATCCATCATGTTATGAGATACATACGTAGTTTTTAAAAAAAAGGTTACTATAGGGAAGCAAGGAATCCCAAATAAAGTACAATTTATTACCTATACTGTAGTCCTTCTGTTGCACATTAGATCTCTAGACTTGTTCATCCTGCGTATCTGCTACTTTGTTTTGTTTGGCTTGAGACAGGGTCTCCTGTCCCCAGGCTGGAGTGCAGTGGCATGGTCAAATCACTGCTCACTGCAGCCTCAACCTCCCAGGCTCAACTCATCCTCCTGAGTAGTTGGGACTACAGGTGGGCACCACCACTATTGGATAATGTTTTGTGTGTTTTTTTGCAGAGACAGGGTTTTGTCATGTTGCCCAGGCTGGTATCGAACTCCTGGGCTCAAGCAATCCGCCCACCTCTGCCTCCCAAAGTCCTGGTATACTATACCAGAGTGAGCCACTGTGCCTAGGCCTCCTATCTGCTGCTTTGTATCCTCTGACCTCCACCCTCCTCCACCTATGGTTTTGTTCTCTATCCTGTATACCTGTATTTGAATGTTTTCTTTAAATTCCCCATATGAGTGAGATCACGTAATTTTCTTTCTGTCTGCCTTATTTCACTTAATGTCCTGCAGTTTCATCCATGTTGCGGCAAATGGCAAGATAGTCCTTTTAGGGCTGAATAATATTCCATTTTGTGTGTACATATATAGAGAATAATATTCCATTTTGTGTGTGTATATATATGTGTGGGAATATATAAATATATATATATTTCTCATCTGTCTCACATATATATTATATATTATATATATATTCCCACACACACACATATATACACACAAAATGGAATATTATTCAGCCCTAAAAGGGCTGAATATGTAGCTCCTATTAATTTACTGAATGATACATTTGATTTATATAAAATTATATATATATATACACACACACCAGTTTATTCATTCATTTTTCAACAGGCATCATTTAGGTTGTTTCCATATATTGGCTGCAATGCTGCAATGAACATGGGATTGCAGATATCTTTAAAGGTGGTTGTCTCATTTTCTTTGGGTGGTTGTCTCATTTTCTTTGGCCCTAAAGAGGGATTGTTGGGTCATCTGTAGTTCTGTTTTCAATTTCTTTAGAAACCTCCATACTGTTTTCCACGATGGCTATGCATTCTGACCAACAATGCATAAGCATTCTCTGTTCTCGTCACCCTTATCCATATTTATTAATATCTTTTGACTTTTGATACTAGTCTTTCATCCTAGTATTATCTGGTATCTCATAATGGTTTCAATTCACATTTCCCTTATGATTAGTGATGTTGAACACCTTTTCATATCCATCTTGGCCATTTTTGTTCTTGGAGAAATGTCTTTTCAGGTTTTTGCCCATTTTTAAATGGGATAATTTGTTTTCCTGCTTTTGAGTTGTATGAGTTATCAATTTTATGTATCTTTTTAGATATATAGCTTGCAAATATTTTTTTCCAACCCATAGGCTGTCAATTTGTTTTGTTGCTTGCTGTCTTTGCTATGCAGAAGCTTTTCAGCTTGATGTCGTCCCATTTAGTTATTTTTGTTTTTGTGGCCTGGGCTTTTGGTGTGGTAACCAAAAAATCACGGCTAAGGCCAAGATTCAAGAGTTTATCATGCATTTTAACAGCTGGAAGAGCTCATCCACTCTCATTTTTTTTCTCACAATTTTTCTCATCTGTCTCACTTAATTTTGTTTTTTAGTTGAGGATGAGTATCAGTTTGTCAAGTTAAAAAATTGTATATTGATTAATTTAGGGAGAATTAACATCATTACCATACTGAGTCTTCCTATCCAAAGGGATATGTCTTTTTTACATTATTTTTTACTTTGATAAGTGTGGTTTAAATGTCGCTCTGATTAATTTACTGAATGATACATTTTATTTATTCTTGTTAATTATTATTGTCCTAACTCACTATTATTTGTATAAAAGAAAGTTATTTTATATTTTAATATTTCTTTTCACTTTACTGAATTTTATTTTACCACTTTTAACATTTTATTTTTTATTACTATGATTATTATATTATTTTGAGACAAAGTCTTGCTCTGTTGCCAGGCTGGAGTGCTCTGGTGTGATCTCGGCTCACTGCAACCTCTGCCTCCCAGGATCAAGCAATTCTTATGCTTCAGCCTCCTGAGTAGCTGGGACTAAAGGTGTGCACCACCATTTTAGGCTAATTTTTTATATTTTTAGAAGCGATGCAGTTTCGATATGGTGGCCAGGATGGTCTCGAACTCTTGGCCTCATGCGATCTGCCCACCTCAGCCTCCCAAAATGCTGGGATTACAGGCATGAACCACCATGCCTGGCTGTAATATTTTGTTATTATTTGGTTCTTATGGATTTCCTAAGTGTATAATCACTTAAAGATAAAAATACTTTTGGCATTTCTTTCTTTTTTTTTTTTTTTTTTGAGATGGAGTTTCGCTCTTGTTACCCAGGCTGGAGTGCAATGGCGCGATCTCGGCTCCTGGGTTCAGGCAATTCTCCTGCCTCAGCCTCCTGAGTAGCTGGGATTACAGGCGTGCGCCACCATGCCCAGCTAATTTTTTGTATTTTTAGTAGAGACCGGGTTTCACCATGTTGACCAGGATGGTCTTGATCTCTTGACCTCATGATCCACCCGTCTCGGCCTTCCAAAGTGCTGGGATTACAGGCTTGAACCACCGCTCCCGGCCGCTGGCATTTCTTTAAATGTTATAACTTATTTAATTTTCTTTTTCTTTTCTTTTCTTTTTTTTTTTTTTTTTGAGTCGGAGTTTTTCTCTTGTTACCCAGGCTGGAGTGCAATGGCGCGATCTCAGCTCATGGCAACCTCCGCCTCCTGGGTTCAGGCAATTCTCCTGCCTCAGCCTCCCGAGTAGCTGGGATTACAGGCACGTGCCACCATGCCCAGCTAATTTTTTGTATTTTTAGTAGAGATGGGGTTTCACCATGTTGACCAGGATGGTCCTGATCTTTTGACCTCGTGATCCACCCGCCTCGGCCTCCCAAAGTGCTGGGATTACAGGCGAGCCACCGTGCCCGGCCTTAATTTTCTTATATAATTGGATTGGCCACCTGTTCCAAAGCATTGTAAAATAAGATTCATAGTAATCAACTATTTTTTTTTTCACATTCCTCACTTTTGTAGGAGTGCTTCTGTTTCCTCACCATTAGGTATATATTAGCTTTTGTTAACGTGTATATAAAATTATGGCCCAATAACACCTGTCTACCCTATTTTAGTAATTAATTATTAATTAAGAATGGATGTTTAAGGTTTTTATTCTAGCCCAGTTGCCTAAGATTTCCAGGAATATACCTGTACTCTAATAAAATTTGGTTATTGATCCACTGCAGTGAGACAGATCACATTGCAGGGGAGTCATGGGGTATCTCACCAAACAAAGGGAAAGACACAGTTATTGTAGGGTTTGGGGTAAGTGTGGAGTTTAGATGAATATTAAATAAGGCAGAGTGTTGACAGGCTCAGAGGAAAGTAGGGCTGTATGTAAAAAGGTCCATGTCAGGTCTGGACTGCAAAATGGACCCAAAGTCCCATTTTCTTGAATACTACACGGTTGAGAGAGGTGTGGAATGTTGTGTCCAGAAACCCCTTAGCTGTAGTTCTGCATCTGAGCACAAGTTGAGGCTGTGTTAGGAGTCAGGAAAAGAAAGGAGCCAACGGAAGTTATTTAGAAAGCAAAATCAACAGAACTTGGTGACACTGGATGTAGTGTGAGGGAAAATGGTGAGCTGAAATTTCACCCCTCTATTTATAGCTTACATGTTGGGTAGATGACCATGTCTTCAGCTGATACGGAATATTCTATAACAACAATTGGTTTAGGGAAGCAAGAGAGAGAAGAGCAGGATGATCACCTCAATTTTTGATTTGTTGGGTTTCTGATTGCCTCAAGACTGGAGTATAGATCACAGGTAGGTAGTAGAATGTGTAAGTGCAGGGATACTGCTGGAGGCTGGGGTTACAGCCATAGGTATAGATGCCCAGGAGTCATGAGCATCGCTGAAGGAGGGCCTGCAAAGTGAGAGGAGCACTGGATTAAGGGAAAACCCCAGGAAGATTTCCCTAAGGTTTCCAGGCTGGTAGGATGAGCCCACAGTGAAGACTACAAATGAACAGAGGTAGGAATCAAAGCAGAGACCTACCATGTCAGAGAAACTCAGAAGAGTTCCAAGGAAGAGGGAGTGGTCAACTGTATCAAGTACAGGAAACAGGCTTAGGAATGGAAGACCTGAATTGGTTGAATAGTTGGCAGGTAGATGGTGATTTTTGCCAGGGTACATTCAGGGAAGTTGGTAAAGCAGAAGACAAAATTTTATGTGTTCAGCCAATAATCAGAAGTGAGACAGAAAAGTGAGCCTCTACCTTATAGAAAGCTGGGCTGAGAAGGACAGGAGTCAGGGCAGTATCTGCTGTGGCTTTAGGCTCAAGGAGTGGTTTTTAGCAAAACAGGTGTCAGTGTTTCACTTTTATCAACTAGCTCGAATCAGGTCCTCAGCTATGCCTGATGGAATTCACCTAAAATACCAAAATAAAGGTAAGTCTTCTGTAGTCTTTCTGTATTCACTTGAGTACTTGATCTCTGTAACTCACTCTGCATCCTCCTTCCTGCCCCTTCCCTGGTAAGACACACACACACACACACACACACACACACACACACCCCAATATACATTTGCTTTTTCTAATGATCACACAGACCCTTTTAGAAAAGATTGCTCCTTGGACGGTACGCAGGAGGTATGGCCATGACAGACACAAGGCTTTAGGGAAAGTCCAGATGAATCTTGAGCCGAGAAGGAAGAGCTCAGTTGCATAGGTATTTAGCCAGAAAGCATAGAGAAATCCTTCTGTTGAAAATGTTTAGGAAAGATTGGAGTTTTTGAAATATAAAATCAATAATTTTTATTTTTTGTTCTGCACACATGGCAACACAGAACTGTGAAGACAGACGTGGTTAACACAAACCACTCAAGCCAACGGAATCATGGCAAACTCATGGATCATCTGAGCTCCTATCTCCACCTTGGTGGCAGCCCCACCTCTCGGATTTTAAGTTCTGTGGAAAGTGCAGGCTTCCAGGAGTGCTGTGGAACAGAGCAGAGAGGTAGGATTTTCAAAATCTTCTTATATTTATTTCTGAACTGTTGAGTGAATGAACAATTCAGCATAGTACCAAGGTGTGCAGACTCGCTGCCTCCTCTTCTGTGAACTGGGCAGTTCTCCCAGTGCTCTTTTCTACTTGCCTGCACAGCTCCTGTGCCTATCCTGAGGAGTGCCCCATGCCAAAGCTCTAACATAATTTTCCTGCCCTATAGGGTTCCCCACTTTGTTTCTTTTGGGTGAGGGTCACACATCTGAGTTCATGAGGCCAGCAGTCGCCCAGGAAGACTGTCCTCCCTGACCTCTTTAAGCAGGTGAAGAACTGACTTGTCAAAAAGCACCTACAATGTGCCAGTTTCTGTGCTGAGGGATAAGGATGGAGGAGAGAACAGCAGAGCCAGACTGTCTCCCCTTGTGGAGGATATAGGTTAGGTAAATATCAACTCGATTCTCACAACAGTGAACCTAGACAAGCACAGTGCTGCTTCCATCAGAATTACATGGGGGCAGCTTTTAAAATGCAGATACCTGACCTAGCACAGACTTGCTAAGTCAGTATCTCAAGGCTCTGAAAATTAGCATTTAAATAAGGATCAGCACTCCCTTTACAGTATACTCCTGTGGAAAGAGTAATTGCCCTACACTACCACGTGTTATTCCCCCACATCTTCCAAACTTTTTCAGGAGACTCAGTTTCACGCAACATAGTTATACTGCAAAGGTGTGTTTTATTGTATTTCAATTCTCAGAAACTGGTGTTTCAAACGAGTAGTATGTATGGTAACTTTATCATTACCAGAACCTATCATTGTTGAAGCTCTCAAGCAGCAGTGTCTGTAAGGGCTTTCTGTGATGATGCAAACATTCTCTTTACTGACTAATATGAGCCACATGTGGCTGTTGAGCACTTGAAATATGGCTGGGTGGGATTGAAGAAATACATCTTTTATTTACTTTATTTTAATTAACTTAAATTTCAATAGTCACATCTTGCTGGTGGCTACCATACTGGACAAGGCAAATCTAAGCAAAAGTTTACTGCAGAGCAATGGCATGTGCACATAAACCTGTTCCTTTTCTTAGAAATAAAATGGAATTCTCTGTGTTCAATAAGTTCACTATCTTAGTGCTCTGAGCCTGTGTCCCCTTACTATCTGCCCATACAGGCTAGCCTGTCATACATGCTGGGCTTAGATGGTTCACTCACCATTTCATTTTGTCCATGTTGTCCTATCCCGAGGGCCACAGTCTACCCGTCCTGTACCCACCACCCCAGCAATCACCACCATGTTTGGCTGCCACTTCCCCATGCTGTTCCTCCTACTCACGTGAGGTGGAGCATTTTCTCAGGTTGCCAACAGCCTTGACGTATTCTTCTCCTAAGTATTTTTCATATGTGTTTTTGTCATGAAGTTTGGCCAAACATACTGTGTCATCTCTGAACAGAAGGTCCTTGGTTTCAGATCGGAACATGCAAAAGTAGCTCGAGCAGTCAGGTACACTCCTTCCAAATATTTTCTGTCAAGTGAACAGAAAGTCCGTGAGGACCTGTAGTCTTTTAGCAGCTGGGAACACATGGATCAGAAGAGTCTGAAAGCTCTGAATCAGCCCCGGGGAAAAAGGGATGCTATAGAGAATGCCCTGGGAATTTTCCACCTCTTTAGCTGCCATTTACTCACTTAGGGCCCTAGCTCCATGTTTTCATGATGCCCTCAAAACCATCTATAGGGTCTCCAGTCCCATCTTCCTCTGAGGAGTCCCTCCCACCCATCACCCATGCCTGCCTACTCTGATCTCTCTTCCCCACTTCATTGCCCTTCACTGGGGGCTGCTTATAGGAAATGAGAGGACAATAATAGGTCCTTTCAGATGTTATTATCCAAGAAGATATTAAACGTGAATCTTCCCAGAGGAGCAGCAGAGGTAGCTGTTAAAAATTCATGTCTGAGGTTCATGCCTGTAATCCCAGCACTTTGGGAGGTTGAGGCAGGTGGATCACAAGATCAGGAGTTTGAGACCAGCCTGGCCAAGATTGTGAAACCCCGGCTTTACTAAAAATACAAAAATTAGCCAGGCATGGTGGTGGGCGCCTGTAATCCCAGCTACCCAGGAGGCTGAGGCAGGAGAATTTCTTGAACCTGGGAGGCTGAGGTTGCAGCAAGCCGAGATTGGGCCACTGCACTCTAGCCTGGGTGACAGAGCAAGACTCCATCTCAAAAAAAAAAAGTTCATGTTTGACTGAATTTTGAATCCTTTCTTGGGCAAGCCACTCAACTTCTCCAGGTCTCCAAAGGTTGTAAGTGAAATGATGGCCACAAAATGTTCAACTTTTCATATAGCAGCTAGGAAATGTTTGTTACATGCTCATTATTGTCATCATGTACCTTAAAAGGACTTCTAAATGTATGCTATCTTAGTTTTTTTTAAAAAATAGATAATGGTGAGTCAACAGCAGGCAGCTATGCCTGAAAATAAGGTGATGTGTGTATGTGTGGAGGGGCCTTTAGGATTAGAATCCTCAGGCTCTCTGAGGACAACAAGGTTGTCCCCCAAGAGGGCAGGCTCTCCAATGGCAGGGATCCTGTGTTTTTCAGAGAGTTGATAACAGTGCTCAGTCTGCCTCGGCCAGAGGAACAGAAATCCACTCTTCATGACTTGTATCAGCAAGCACTAGGAAACAGGGTCTGTTGTCTTCATTTTTGGGAAGAACAGGAGTAGAGGAAATAAGAGTACCCCTGAACAAGGTTAGGGGGAGCAGAAAGGCATATTCCTGGTCCCAAGGGTGCATGGATCATTGCTAGTGACCAGGAGCTAGAAGCAGAGCCGGGCCTGGGAGGTCTAGTTCCATAATTGCACAGCTAACGTGTGTGAGCATGTCCTATAGAGCAGGCATTTTCCTATGCCCTTTGGGTGCATGTCTTCACTTAATACTCATATTAACCAAGAAGTAGGGAAAAGTATTATTATTACAACTTTATATATGAGGAAGCTGAGGCATGGAGCGGTTATATAATATACCCAAGATTGCACAGCTACGAAGCTGTGGAGCTGAGATTTGAACCCTCATATTCTAGTCCACAATGCATAGCATGAAAGTCACAATGCATGAAATTCTAGTTCTCAAAAAAGAAAGTGCTGGAGTCATGGCTGCACTTACTTGTAAACTCCCCCCAAATAACCTGTAGCCATCTAGGAAGAAAAGGTGGGAGGCCCTGGCTGGTCCATACCTGCTGGTCAAGTAGCACCTGCTGGACACAATCTGCCTTATCTTTCCGTGTGACCACAGCATGATTCGGGGCTCGGGCCAGGTGGCAGCTCTCAAACTTATCCACAGACTTCCTGGAACCATCGAGGCACAGCAACTCAAAATCGTCTTTATTCAGATTCTTAGCCCACGCTTCAGGGTTGTCATCTAGGGAGAGAAAGAAGGTGGATCAGCTGGTGGCTTTGGTCAAGGTTCCCCACTGGGGAGATGGGACTGACTCAGTGGTGTGTAGAGAACCTGGGCCTTCTGGCCAGCAGAAATGCCCACACTGGGGTTACAGTGATGTGAACAGGAAGAGATACCCATGTGGTCTACAAGGCAATACCGGACTCACAACTGCCAGGAATGCTTATTGATCACCCCTTTCCAACCTTCCCCACCCAGCCAGGTGGGAGTGAACTACATTCTGTGGATGCTTTTCAAAAAGATCTTCCTTTCCACTAAATTCCAAAGTCTTCTGTACCTCTTGCTCCAGCAGAGGAAGAGTGTGACACTCTAAGCCAGGTGGACCAGTTTCTGTGGAGTAATATATGACATCTCCAAACAAAAGAACTTTTCCGCAGGGGACACCTCTGGAATCTGCACCAGAATTTTAAATCTGACTCCCTTGTTCCAATTCTAAGTAAGAATGTGCACATGCCTGTGTGATACAGGCCTATATCCCATCTTGGCCCCCTGTGCCTTTTCTTTTCTGTAGTTCTAAAAAAAAGAAAATCTCACCCAGTCTTAGGGTTTTGGCTCCTTCCTCCTGAGGTACTTCACAAATATGTTTTGCTAATTTTTATTTATCTCCCATAATTCAGGATTGTGACCTTTTTAAAAATGAATTTTTCGGCCGGGTGTGGTGGCTCACGCCTGTAATCCCAGCACTTTGGGAGGCCAAGGTGGGTGGATCACCTGAGGTCAGGAGTTCAAGACCAGGCTGGCCAAGATGGTAAAACCCCATCTTTAAAAATAAATAAATAAATAAAAATAATAAAAAACGAAAAATGAATTTTTAATTTAATTTTCTTTCTTTAACCAAATAATTAGTACATGCGATCATACTCATAAATTTTTGAATATCTCTCTATATTAACTAAAAACCTCCTTTCCTATATTTCCCAAATCTCGCTCAGTCTTATAGCGTTAGTCCTTAATATCACATTTGGGAGTTTCCATTCATGTCTCATCATATGTATTTTTTTAACGTGTCTATATGGATGTCACATATTTCTAATTTTCTTAAGTATTAGATCTTGACAAATGTAAAATGCTATAGCTTTTTTTCAATTGTTTACATAACTTATAGATTCTTCTTGTCAGTACATATAAATCAAGCTCATTCTTCTTAACTACTATATTTCATAGTATGGCTCTAATAGTATTTTTAAACCATTCCTCTTTTAATAGGCATTTGAGGTTTTTTGCCACTACCATAGTGTTAAAATTAGTGTTACTGGCATATAATTGTGCTTGCATAGAAGTGGAATAGTTAGTTCAAAGGCTATGTGCCTTTTTATGTTATTTTATTTATTATTTATAATACATTAGTATTATACTCATTCTCAGCCCTCCATTCTCAGCCCTCACCAAGGCACAGTCTTATTGGAGGGGTAAGTAGCACACATATCAAAACCAAAAATTCAAGCCAGGGATACTAATATTTTTTTCTTTTTTTTTGAGACGGAGTTTCGCTCTCGTTACCGAGGCTGGAGTGCAATGGCGCGATCTCGGCTCACCGCAACCTCTGCCTCCTGGGTTCAGGCAATTCTCCTGCCTCAGCCTCCTGAGTAGCTGGGATTACAGGCACGCGCCACCATGCCCAGCTAATTTTTTGTATTTTTAGTAGAGATGGGGTTTCACCATGTTGACCAGGATGGTCTCGATCTCTTGACCTCGTGATCCACCCACCTTGGCCTCCCAAAGTGCTGGGATTACAGGCGTGAGCCACTGCGCCTGGCTAATAATATTTTATATTTTGTGAAACACTCTAGATGCTGTGTGAGCTCAAACCAGGGCTTTGAGAACAAATGAATTAAGAAACTGGCTGGAGACGGCAAGATTTCAGATGTTTCTTATAGTATGTGGAGGAGGAGAGGAGGAGAAAGGAATGCCTCTCTGTGGGAGGAAAGAAGAGTGCAGGTGAGACTGAGCAGGTGTGTGCCTGGTGTATCTAACGGTGAGAGGAGACCCGCCTCTTGAACATCACAGGCAGTGGGATATGTGAGGTGCTCAGGGAAGAGGAAAAGTAGATTTGTGAGGAAACTGATGTTAATGAATGAGCCAGAACCTGAAGGTAGAAAATTAAGACAAATTAGATGAGAGGTGATTCAGTCTGGCTAGAAGGGCATGTTAAAGATATGCTTTTTCAGTAAAAAATAATGCATGTTTATTGATGGGAATTTGTTAAATGCTACATAGTATTGGAAGAACATTTTGAAGCCTTTGTAATTTCATAGCCTACACCTTCAAAATTAGTACATTTCTAACATTCTTTTTCCTACACACACATACAATATGCTCACACACACACACACACACACAAATTGAGATAAAAGAGCCATGTAGACTGGGTGCAGTGGCTCGTGCCTGTAATCAAAGCACTTTGGGAGGCCAAGGCGGGCAGATCACAATGTCCAGAGATTGAGACCATCCTGGCCAACATGGTGAAACCCCGTCTCTACTTAAAATACAAAAGTTAGCTGGGTGTGGTGGCACGTGCCTGTAGTCCCAGCTACTCAGGAGGCTGAGGCAGGAGAATCACTTGAACCCAGGAAGCGGAGGTTGCAGGGAGCCGAGATCGCGCCGTTGCACTCCAGCGTGGGTGACAGAGTAAGACTCCATCTCAAAAAAAAGAAAAAAAGCCCATGTGTTTTTGTGTCTTGCTTCTTGCTTGCATATACCATGGAACTTAAGACAGATTTTGGAGGAGGTAGAGATGGGGGAAAGGATTGAAAAACTCCCTGTTGGGTGCTATGCTAACTACCTGGGTGACGGGTTCAATCATACCCCAAACTCAGCATCATGTAATACACCAGGTAACAAACCTGCATATGCACCCCCAATCTAAAATAAAAGTTGAAAAAGAAAAAAATTAATGGCAGAAGGCGGCAAGAAGGTGCAAAAGTGTAAGTATGATGAATCAGACATGGTGTGACCTATAGTTAGTAATATTTATCAGGAATGTGATATTAAATCAGGGGTATTCGACCAGTAGTTCCCAAACTTACAATACATCAAAATTACCTTGGCTTTTATAAAATTATGTTTTCTGCCTTAAATGGACACAATAAAATTTAATTTTAAAAAAAGACACATTTTGAAGAAATAAGATATTGACTGACAGACTTAATCTAGGCCTGACAGCCAGGGAGTAAAGCAGGATTCTTTATAGGGATAGAGGCTAGGAGAAGAGGAGGGAACGTTGACAGAAAGATGAGGACAGTTGGCTTTGCAATTCGAGTGTACCGTGTACATAAAGTGACACCTTGGGAAATACAGTGGAATGGAATTGAGATTGCAGGTCAGGCCTCCCATCTAAATTCTATTCAGGAGGTTAGAATTTTTGAGTCATTGCAAAGAGTAGAGGGTCAAAGCTTAGAAAGGGGAGCTGTACTCAGAAGGATACTGAAAGAAATCAAGGGTGACAAAGAACCAAGCTGAGGGTAACACTCTGGCAGGAGGAAGAAGGAGAGCCCTTAAAGGAAAAAGCAAAAATAATATGAGGGAACAAAGGAAAATTAGTCAATCCAATATTTCGTCAAACAAATTCTTAGCAACTATGGTGTGCTATGTGCTACACTAGGTACTGGGAATATAAGAGGAAGAAAAAGCGTAAGGAGTTTCTATAGCCAAAGTGTATGACAGAATGTGGTGAATTCAATCATAATAGCAACAGGAACAGAGGATTCTTCTTGTAGGATGGGGCATGCCATCTGGGAAGGCTTCCTGGAGGGGCTGGTGCTGAGCTGGTTCGTTCTGGATGAGCTGCCCAGGAAAGGTGAGGAGTTGGAGGAATGAGCATGAGAGAAGGCAGGGAAGTATTCACAGCCTGAATTCCGGCGGGCTCTCCTAGCACTTAGGGAAACTGGGGGGTCAGGTGTGGGGCCAATGTTTGTTTTGCTTTTAATGTCATGGCTGTCCAACGTTAACCCACAAGTTAACACCCATTGATGATTCTTACTTGAATCAGTTATCAATATATTGGTTGCCAAGTGACAATTTTCTAAATCTGTCATTCCTTCCACATTCATTAGTTTTCCCGTCTTTGCTTGTTCAATCAGTATTGCTTCATGCATTCTTATTTCTTTCAATGGGCTATTATCCCTTACTGCTACCATTACTTATTTTAATGCCCAAAATTCCCAGACTTGGCAATAGGAAAGCCTTCTAACTGGCTCTTATATGCTTTGAGTGTCTGTCACTGCTTGAGCACTTCAGTGTGGTGTTCTAGGCTCAGCATGTATTTTTCCTGCTGCAGTCCTGAAGTCAGCTATTTTTCCAAGGAGTTTTGGCTCCTTTTAGCAAAGAAGAGTAACTTACAAGCCAGTATGTTGGTGCTTACTCCTGCTGGTGTGCCATTGCCTCTAGGTCTTCTCAATGGACACAACCCAGAAATACAGAAAATAGCTATAAAAGGCATTACTGGGATGACTGACAACATTTAAATGTGTACTGTGGATATGACAAGTATTAAATCCACATAATGTAAAATGTCCTGATCTTGGTAATCCTACTGTGGGTATGCAAGAGATTGTCTTATTCGTAGGAAATAGGCACTGAAGTATTTAGGGGAAAGGAGCACAAGGCTTGCAGCTGTGAGAGTGTGCATTGAGGAGGATTTAGGGCCACTGGGGCCCCATGAGCCTGATTATTCTGTGCACTCAAGTGAACATGTCTGTCTTCACTGAGCAGATAGGTTGAGAATCAGAGCTTTGGAGTCTGACAGCAGACATAATACTTCCACAAAGGCATCCCTGAATACAAGTGAATACCAGTAACCAGGATCTAGTGATCTACGAGGACAGGGGAGCAGGTGCACGTACCCCCGGTGATCTGTGTGACAGTCTGGTGTTTCACAAAGGCCACATCTCCCTTCTCAACCAGACACCTGCAGAGGTCCAGACAGTGGGAGAGAAAAAAGAGGTGGTCAGAGTGACTTATCTCTCATTCAGAGGACTACCTTATAGATTCAGGATGGCCATCTGAAAACAGTAATTGTAACTTCCATTCTAACAGTAAGCAATGTAAGGAATAAAGAGAACAGAAACAAAACACTCTGAATTGATTAGAGTTATACAGTCTCAGTTTCACATACTAAATCTAAATTTTGGGTACAGTTTCTCTTACAAATGACATCATTTCCTTGGCATCAACAAGGATAGTAGGGAATTGATTTTCCAGTGAGGTGATGCCTCCCCCAGTATATGAATGAAAAACTCAATTTCTTCAGATTCTTGTGCAAGGCAAATGTCTAGGCAACATTTGTGAGAAACTGACACTATCACACATTGCAATTTGTGCCATCCTTCGTCCCTTTGAAAAACAACTTTAACATTTATGGACCATTTACTATGTTGTGGGGTTTTGGTTTTGGTTTTTGAGAAATGCAGAGAATATGGCAAAACCTGGCACAAGTGACTTCACTCTACGAACTCCCAGGCCATGTATCTCTGGGGTATGGGACTGGGGGTTATAACACAACTCTGAGCCACAAATCCCCAAGAAGTTTCAGGAAAAAAAAAAGTAAAAGTAATAAAATAAACTGTGGTTGATATGGTTCCACTTTTAATTTTTACTGTCTTCCAGTCCTGTGAAAAGACATGCCACACAGATGATGAACTAGTGTGTACTTCAAAGTCTGCACAAGGTCCTCCTCGATGAGCCGAGTGGGTTGAACTCTTTGACAATGGACCCAACCCTGCTCTCCATCTACTTTAACCTCCTTGCTTCAAGGAAAAGAACCTGCATTTTCATGCATCAGTTCAAGACTTTTGGGAGTAGCTAGCTGAGAAGGCAGGGTACCTATTGTGCCATATATTGATTTAATTTTATTTTCTTTGGCGTTTGGAGTATTTTTATCAATCTTGTACATTTTACTTCAGAGCTAAGTTTTATAAGATATGTTTAGAAAAAGGAGCCTTTATACGTGTTTATTTTAAGCATGTTTATACATGCATGTTATTTGAGCCTTTTCGCATGACCTGTAATTCTCAAATATATGCTATCACCAGAAAAAGACACGGTATAAAAATGCAAGGGGAAACTCTATTTTTAAAGTCCCCAAACTCATCAATTTTTGTGAAAACAACACAGTCTACTTTGTGAAATTAGAAACTTGAGGAATGTGAATTGTACTTAATCTAATTTACAAAGTGGCTCTAGCTAGAAAATAGGAATGACCTTTGTTTTTTACGTCACTACTGGGAAGCTCAGTTATGATACCATCATCATTGTGCAGCTCATGGATTCCTGAATCACCGGGTAACTGAAGGCCTGGAGCAGAATGGGTAGTTAAAAACTAGGGGCAGACGTGGTGGTTCATGCCTATAATCCCAGCACTTTGGGAGGCCATGATGGGAGGATTGCTTGAGCCCAGGAGTTAGTTTGAGACCAGCCTGGGCAACATGACAAAACCCTGTCTCTACAAAAAAAATACAAAAATTAGCTGGGTGTGTTGGTACATGCGTGTAATCCTAGCTACTAGGGTGGCTGAGGTGGGAGGATCGCTTGAGCTCAGCAGGTTGAGGTTGCAGTGAACCATGAGAGCACCATTGCACTGGAGCCTGGGCAACAGAGAGAGACCCTGTCTTAGAAAAACAAATGAAAAAATAGCAAGGTGTCTCTATGAAAATGAATGATAGACACTCCATAAAGTACAGTTGTAGTTAGGAATCTAGAAATCATGTACTATTCTGTATTTCCAGGTGAGTATTGTTCTAGATTATCCAGAGGTGCATGGAAAAGCTCGAACCAAACTCTCGATGCAGTGTTTATTCAACCACAGTAGGGTATCATTGCCAAGGCACTAGTGACACCTGGAGGTGGCTAATTCTTTGTTGTAGCATGCTATCCTGTGCATTGTGGGAAGTGTAGCACCTTCTATGCGTTAGATGCCAGTAGCACCTCCTCCCCTGCCCCAACATTATCACAATCGAAAATACCTGCAGATATTGCCAAATGTCACCTGGAGTTACCCCAGCTGAACACTGCTAAACTGTACCAAACACAAGTCTCTGCTGTCTTTGACAGCCATGTAAGCATCCTAGGGGAGTCTGGCTGCCCCTCCCCATGTGGCTCTACATCTGGTCGTGAAATCTACTCTCTTAATACATACAGCACTAACACCATAGGAACATAAGAATCTTACCTTAGTGCCCAAAAGAAATCTGGCCAAGGCTTGTGTGTTACTCTATTTGCATCAGGGTTAGAAGGCTCACCTGAAAGCTCCTGTGTAGCCATAGTATCCCTCTTTGCTGTTAGGTTCACACTTGTTTGGGCCTGTGCCCATACACAGCTTACAGAAACTGGAGTTTTTTGCAGACCCAGGGGCACAACCTTCGCTGAAAAATTCATCTGTGCAAAGGACAAGAGGAAGTCAGCTTTTCCCGAGTCAATGCAAGCAGCTTTTACCTAACACATAACAGGGCTGCATGGCCCAGGACAAAAAGAACATATTCATTAATTCTGTGACCAGCCACCACCAACCCAGGACTTGCCAGGCTGTGGGCTTTAAAGGGGAACCGATTGAGACTGGGAAAGGAGTTAATGACCATTACAATTCAGGGCAGAGGGCATTTATTTGAGCACAATGATGATGCCATCACTAAGCTAAAGAAAGAAGAAATGAAAAATGTCATGAAAGGGGACAGAAAAAGGATCAAAACTGAAGATCTTGCCTCCTTAGCTTGTGCCACCTGTCTTCAGATGTTCCTGTTTGTTCCCTGCCATTCATTACAAGAGCCTTTACTACATCTCCAACCTCAGGAAAGGGATGGGGAATTTTCTTTACAGCTCAGCTGCTCTCCTGTGGCCATAAAAGTGCTAGGAGGTTCAGAAGAGCAGAGGTAGTGTCTTTGTCAGTGAGATTCCGGAGTCTTCTGAATGCCACCCTGGCTGCACTTTTCTTCATGTCTAAGTGGTGTCACAAAGCACGCTGGTACAGAGTCATGCTCTCATTGCCACTCCCCCAACCCCACGGGGTTTTCTGGGTTAATAACCAGATTTAGAGGCCTTTCCTTTATTAGAGTTGCCCAAATTTGAAAGTGGCAGGGACAAAGTACTTAGGAAGCTAATGTAAATCAGAACCACTGGAAAATACCCGTCTGTGGAGGAACTTAGAAGTTTAAGGGGGTTAGAAATAAGCCCATACCTGGTGATAGTCAGAGGACATAGAAAATGAGGTGATTTCTACTGCTTAGAAGGCTCCTAGGAGCTGGGCAGGGACTTGGTGAGATTGCCAACACCCTAAAGAGATCCAGGATCACCCATACTCACATACCCTACAAAACCTTGTGGCAGGGATTGCTACCTGTCTACCCAATATCTGTTTCTCCTTATACTTTGTAACAAAAATCTGGTCTTACCCGAGATAGGGAAATTCCCAAATGAAAGATTACATTTCTTTTTTACAGCTAGGTTTGGTGATGTACCTAAGTTCTGGACAATGAAAAGTTTGCTGAAACAACTGGTTAGACTTCCTAGAGAGCGCCTTTAAAAAGCTGGCATAAACTCCCATTTGCTGTAATCCCTTGGTGATTGGGGCTGTCTGGATCATGGATGTGATGGCAACCAGGGGATGGCCTTCAAGATAGAAGTCTCATGCTCAGAGTGTGAAGGAGCCTGGGTTTCTCATGACCGTACCAGCCATGCACTGCTCACCTCTGGTTTTTCTCATGGGAGATAAATGTGTATTGATTCACGCCATTATGTGCAACCAAAATGAACCGTCCTGACTCCGCAACCCAGTTCCAGCCCTCCCAGGCCTTGTTGCTATGTCCTTGAGGACAGCAAATTCTACTGTTCTTTTGCCAAATTCTACTTTTCTAGAGCCAGAGCCCACAGCATCTTATGCCACACTCCTCTTCCTACGGCAGGACCCTGCTTTCTGGTACAGCCCTCACCAGCCCTCCTTCCCCATATTCGCTCACCAAATCTGCAGTGGTTGATCTTATTGTAGAGCAGGCCCATGGGGATATTCCAGCCAGCGGTTCTGCCAACTGCTGTGTGGCAGGACTTCTTGCCTTTCAAAGTGTCCCAGGTGAGGTCAGCAGTTGATTTCTTCACCACTGCTACAGCAAAATACCCTACAAGAAAGACACCGTGAAAGGATTTATTAAAACCTCTGGGGCCTCCAGAGTTTCTGCGTCCAACCAAAGCCACCATTTCCCTAGAGAAACAAAGACATCCTGAATCAGTCATTGTGTCTTGAGAGGATCTTCCCAGTAACTGACTGAGGGGGAGTACAAGGTACTCTGTCAGGAGGAGATTAATCTGAAGTTTAAGAACAAAACATTGTGAAAACATCATCATTAGCCCAATGGCTGGGTGTATAACCTTTCCCTCAATGCGTAAAGTCACTGAAGTTGTAAGCCAGCAATTCACCCTCCAATATGTCCTGTCAGGAATGGATACTGAAACAACTAATATAACCACAAACTTTCATAAATTAACACATACTCAAGTATAGTAGTAAAAGATCAATAAGCAAAAGAAAATTGGGCCAGACATTTTCTGATAAGGAGAATATAGTTTTATACCAAAATAAATATGCAAAATGGAAAATTTCAATATCAAGTCAGCTGCCATTTTCAGCTATACCTACCGAAGGGCTTGGTTCCCCAAGTGATGGGGAGAGGCTGGGAGATTGTAATCCGTAGAAGTGACAAGGACAGACTTGCACAGTAATGGCTGTCTGGAATGTGACCTGCAGGGGCCTGAGAACAGGGGCCCGGTGCTCACCTTGGTGTAAGACTTCCTGACTTGCTTCTCCATTTCTTCAGATGTACCCTTAGCCAGAGCCCTGGGTAAGAACCAGGTTGACCTAGGTTCCTGGACCCAGCCCTGGCTAGGACGTCAGATCATTTTATGTTCCTAGATACCTGCCCGTGTGAGGCTCTGTACTGAGCCCTATAAGGAACAAATAAGCAAAGTTCCTTGGTTGGTGCTCACTCTTATCTGAAAATGTGCAGGCCTCATGTCACGTGAGGAGCAGTGAGAAATATCTGGATTTCCTTCCTAGATGCCAATCCTAGGCGATCTGCCTGGGCCCACTTGTGTATCCTTAGAGGATACCAAAACCTACCTTATGGCATTAAATGAAACATCCTGTGTGCAAGTCATGGGAAATGTAAAGGAATAACCATCATTATCAATTACTATCCTTCCATGATTCTCTTGCATTCTAAAAATTGGTCTCTTACAGTGCCTTATATACTTGAATTTTAAATCGATCTAACCAATTCCCCCAAACAATGGGAATTTACCTTTTAACTCCAGAGGTTACCAATCCCAACTCACCTTCCTCTGCTGTTCTCTCACAATCATTGTTCTTTGCTGGAGAAAAAAAAAATGAAGAAGGCATGAAATCCTTATTTATAGATTGGGAAATCATGCCTTTTTTATGCTGCAGCTAAGAATAAAGAAAGTCAGAGAAAACTATCTACACGTCACCAATTCCTAACAAGTCCGGGCTCTCTGGATCATGCAAGTCCATTTCACCTCTTGGCCTCTACTATTTATCCACAAACTGTGAATGTCAAGTTTCCTGCTCTGTCTGCACTGAGCCCACAGAGGAGTGCTGGCCAACTATATTTAAATCGCTGCAAGAGGGCAGTGGGAGAGTATGAGTTTTGGAACCTGGAAGACTGCCAGAAATCCCAGCTGTCCTTTGCAATGGGGTCATCTTTAGTGAGGACTTCCCAGTGCAGAACTTTCATTTCCCATTTCTGGAATGCACTATAACTCCCAACCTTCATGGTGACTGTGGGGATTTGAGATGAAGGAGCCCAGAGAGCCTGCAAAGTAGAAGGAGCTCAGAAAGGGAAAGCTTTATGGCAGCTGCGGTATGAATCAGGCTGTGATGTTTCCATCTTCTCTCTCCATGACCCAGAGGGAAGAAAACACAGAGAGGTACTCCCCACCACTTACTATTGTAGTTTTCTGCTAAGACAGGCACCAGACCACACTTGCCCGCTATATAGACAAACCCTCCATCCAAGCTCATGGCATCAGCTTCTCCATTCTGCAAAGACACAGCAAATCACAGCAGATGAAAAGAGGCTCTTTCCTGTGCCACCCACCTTTCCAGCTGTTTCCTTAAAGCAGCCTTCCAAGCACATGAATGCCAGGGAGACAGCAGGTGCTGATACTGAACCCCCAAAGGATCAGCCCAGCACAGTCAGCATGAAAAGTCAAATGTACTCTCATTTTCACCCACTGATCAGTTTATTTTCATGAACTGATCAACTCCAGGTGCCTAGTTCAAGAGCAAAGACCCACATTCAGTCCTCTTGCCTTCTTGTAGGACACACTATCCCGGAGACTCTCCTACAACACATTGCTGACACCAAGAATTCTCGTGCAGGTGGATGAGTGGTGCCAGGGACTCGTGGCTGTGTGAGGAACACAGCACCTTCTGAGGAGGGCTCTAGCCTCTAATGTCAGCCTCCTTGGCGGAGTGTATTTCTGTGTTTGGTGCATACATGTTTATGAATGAGTCAGATATTTTCAAGTGATCTAAATCTCAGCTCTGATAAGCCCCAAACTTCAGAGATGGTTAGATTCAACAAGGTTTGTAAGATTTCCCTTTGGCCTGGCAATATACTTCCTAGTAATAAACCATAAAAGAACCATCAGATGTTGGGCAACTATTTGGAAAAAATGTGTTAGTGGGCAAAAATAACAGGTGTGATTTATAATAGCAAAAAGAAAATTAAATGCTCAATGACAGAAAAATAGCTAAATAAATTGAAGCACATCTATGCTATGGAATAGATATCAACATTAAAGTATCTTTTTTTCTTTAAAACATAGTATGGCTATATTTATTTCTCTCAATTCATGCAATATACTAATTACACATCAGCAAATATTATCTTCAATAATGATTTGATTCATTGGCACTTGAAATTTATATAATTTCACATCAACAGCCTTGCATTTTTTAATACTGTAAGTTTAAAAGCACCCACCAACAGCCACTTTATATATTTTCAATACCTCCCTCTACACATCCAAACTTTAAAGAGTTACTGAACATGGTCATGTTAGAAACTTGAAGTTTTAAAAAAATCTGCTTTCTCAACTTGATTCAGAAAACTCCTTATACTGACAATACAGTCACAGGTGGTAAAGGTAATTGTAGGAGGGAAAAGGAAAAAAGAGACAGACACGAGTTTGCTGTCCTACTCTTTTAGTAATAAGTCATAGTCTAGGTTGAATATGAGGAATGGAGCTCGCCTCACAGCTTGAAACATGCATTCCAAATAATCTCCTATTTGATTTGAGCTCACTATATAGCAAACTGATGTCAAAAGAGAAAAATCGTTTCTTCCACACATTCACTTGGTGTCTGCCTTGTCAAGTGTTTTAGGCTCTTCATGTTTTAGCTTGAAGGCATCTGTCACCAGACCAGTTTCAGGGTCCATGGGTCAGGGTGCAAGCAAATTTTTAATGGATTTTCCAACTTTATCAGACTTGCTCAAATAGCAGCTTCAGAAAGTATGTTAAGTAGAGTAGTCCCCTCTTATCCTCAAGGGGTACATTCCAAGACCCCCAGTCTTGGAACCTGAAACCCTATACAATGTTTATTTCCTATACATACAAACCTAGGATAAAGTTTATAAATTAGGCACAGTAAGAGATTAACAATAAAACAGAGCAATTATAACATAGTGTAATAAAAATTATATTAATATGCTTATTCTCTCTCTCTCTCTCTCTCTCTCTCTCTCTCTCTCTTTCTCTCTCTCTCTCAAAATATCTTAACATTTCTGGACCACAATTCAAAGTGGGTAAAACCAAGAAAGTGAAACCTCAGATAAAGGGAGACTACAACACCTTGTCTTCTGTTTCACAGCGGTTAGCTCCTCCCAAGTTCCTATAAGTCCATTCTTTCAACTTAGTTCTGTTAGTTCCTTTTGATTGGCACAACAAATCTAATGACAGAAGAACGATTAACTGCAAATGCACAAACGTCATCTGTTACTGGGAGATTCTTCAGCGTTGGCTCTACTTTCCCAAGGGAAACAGTCTCCTGCCTGTAGTTTTACAAGGTCCTTTTAATGATCAGTCATCTGCAAACAACCCTCAAACTCTTCTGTCCATTTCCATCTTCAAAGAAATCAACTTTTGTTTCTGTTTCATTTCTGTAGCATCCCACTGTCACATGTTGGCCATTGGTAAGAATTCCACCTCTGGGATGTGGTTTTTCTGTATTAAAGTATCCACCTTCCTCCCAGTTCTCTAATTTCATTTCACAGCAAACTAATGGGACTCCCACTTGAGCCAGTATTGTAATCCACACATCTGTAGATTCAGTGAGTCTGTATCCCTGACCACAACAAAAACAGATATTCATGAACTCGCTGCATGTTGCAGAAAGTGGCGCACTTTCGTACAATAAAAGCTGAGTATTTCCATCTAGCAAGCTTCACAGCTTCCAGAAAACAAAATTGTCACACAATGCAGTGCTATGCTCTTTTGAAATGTATTCCATTTTATAATTATAGGCTAGAATAAACAGATTATGTTGAAGACTACTCATTTCATACACTTTATTCGTGACATTTTGGTAGATCTAAACCATGATTTCCAGAATAGCTGCCATCAGTGTTGGTTTCAACCTGGAAGTAGTCTCTCTGCTTCCGGTTTTTATTTTTTATTAATTTAGTGTCTTACTATTTTTCCCAGGCTGGACTCAAACTCCTGGGCTCAAGCAATCCTCCTGCCTCAGCCTCCTGAGTAGCTGGTACTACAGCTGCATGCCACAGTGCCAAGCCCATATTTTTCTTTTAAAGACTGATCCACAAAAGTCTGGGGTGAAGAGTAGCCAAACAGGCATCCATGAGAAAAACAAAGATGCTCAACACTTAATTCTAGAACATGGAGCAGAGGTAAATATCCAGTGTAGGTATCTTCCACTTCCAGTCTGGGAATCCTCCACCATCCCAATTATACCAGTAATGATGTGTCTATGCGAGATGATGACACCCTTTGGAAGTCCTGTGTCTCTACTCATGAACATGATTAATGCCATAACTGAGGGCACTAGTTGCTTTGGTATCTGTTTTCCACACGCAACTCCGCTTTCTATTGCAGCCATGGTGTCCACGATAACAGCCTTGGGAAACTAGGACAAGTCAGTGGCTTCCCATTGACAGTGATGTTGTGCCACAGGTGTGGAACCAAATAAACTACGTCCTTCAACTGTTTCCAGTAATTCTTCACTAGAAATGATATTGATTACTTCTGTTTCATCTAATCCATGAACCCTGGACCTCTTAAAGTAGCATATCATTTTATGAACTAAATATTATGCATAAAATACACAGCAATGTGCAGCGATCATCCACTTGGCCATGATCTCACAGAACATGGCAATATTGGTTTTTGGTTTCTGCCCCAACATCTGTCAGCTGTTTCCAAAATTAAAAGCTCAAATGATGACATCCTCGTAGGAGAGCAAACCATGATGTCCAAGAATAACCTTTTAAAAAATGTTTCCATTTGGTTGTACTTCATCTTCTTCATTTAAGATTTCACATGTTCCCAAGAGTCCTTTGTTCTTACTTTTTCTTACATACGTAAAAACTTTATCTATTGTATCACATCCAGAGGATAATTTTGAAGCCCAGGCACTCACACTGTTAACAGATTTGTATAGACTCAGGTTTTGAATTTGTAGGCTTTGCTTTAACTTAGTGTGGTCTTGACTTGACTCAGACAAGAAATAAAATGGAAGGTAGGTTAAAATAGTATAGAGTGATATTTATAAATTGTATGAAATGTAAAGAATGAGGTTGATGATCTCTTTTTGCTTCATGGTAGATAGTTCTGCAGATACATGGTTATTCATAAGTGTTCAAAAAGTAGAATTAACATATTTCAGCAAAAATCTGTTGACAATGGCAGGAGATACTAGTGCCTTTATAATATGCATCTTTGTTTCAGTATATTTACTGATTTATTGTAAAGGTTCCAACTCAAGAATAGCCAAATGAAAGAGACACAGAGGGCAAGAAATGTGGGGAGAATGAACAGTGGAGCTTGGCACTTCATGTTCTCTTTAGGCAAAGCACCCTCCCCCATCTCGATGTGTGCGCCAATACAGAAGCTCCAGATCAGGTTTTACAAGAATGATTTATGATGTGGGAAAAGCTTACTAGATACCATGAGGTGAGTAAAATGTAGCAAGTAACCTACATGAAATGATCCCAATGACAGGATTTTCTCTGAATTACGTGGGATTAAAAGTACTCTTATTTCTCCTTTATATCATTCAGGATTTAAAAAATTCTCTATAAGCCAACATGGAATACTCTTTTAAAAAAAAATTTTAGAGACAAGGTCCTGCTGTGTTGCTAGCCTTGAACTCTTGGCCTCAAGCAGTCCTCCTGCCTCAGCCTCCTAAGTAGCTGAGACTACAGGTACATGCCACCATGCCCTGCTAGGATACGCTTTTGATCAACAAAACAAATTTGTACCTGCTTGGATCTTACCAGGTAGTTAGGATCTTACCACAGTGATCATGGCACACCACTGGTCTCAGGACACCCACACCATGGTCCAGCCTCCCTAAGCAGGCACTGCTCAGCCTGCCCTCCCACCAGACACTCACATGAGGAAGAAACAGAGCCCTGTGGGCATGCTTCAGATCCACCAGCTCAAAGGTTCTGAACTTCCTGTGGGGCTGTGCTCACATAATTAGGGCAAGGTTCCTGGGAGCCAGGTTTTTGCATCATTCTCAGGAACACTCGCTAGCTCAGCCTTGGGGGCCAGCAGGCAGCATTGGCAGGGACACTGCCCTAGGAAGGCTGGAGTGACATACCATGATCTTGGCGATGCAGTCTTCGGTGGTCTCCGCTGATTCACATTCTATTTTCCCTACACTGTTAACACTCCACTCATCACACTTGAGCCTTTCGTGGTGGCTCACCGCACACCACTTCACAGCCTTGCATTCACCCGCAGGGGCTTCTGGGCCTATGGCATAAAAAAAAAAAAAACAGATAAGAAGTGGCCCTAACTGTTGCCTGGTGTTTATCAGCACTACCCACTGTCTTCATGCAAATGCTGGGATTTGCCAGCAATAAACAGACTCCATTCAAGGAATTACTCACCTTAGAAAGCAAACTCAATGCACAATCTCTTGGTTGACTTCTCGTTTAGATTTAGCTTTTTACTTCTGAGAAGCCAACTTTCTAACCTCTGGGTACTATATGACCTCTGGCTGTTTTTTCCTTCTTCTTTTTCAGATAGCACTTAACTACCAGAGGTGTTCCTATTTATATGTTCATTGTTTATTGACAGTTTTCCTGCAGGGGAACACAAGCTCCAACAGAGAAAGGGCCCTGCCAGTCTTGTTCACCAGGGCATCCTCAGGCTTGGGGCAATGCTAGCACATGGTCAGCATAATAAATGTCTGATGAATAAAGGTACATCTGCTCAACTTTCAGACTGAGCTCAAGGGTCACTTCCTCAGGGAAGCATTGCCTTAACTCCAAGTCCAGGGCCCATTTTTCTTTGTTTTACACTCTCTTAGGGCCATGTTATTTCGTTGTCATATTTCCCCCAAACCCCCCCCTTGTTTTTAGACACGAAGACTCGCTCTGTTGCCGGGCTGGAGTGCGGTGGCACGATCTCGGCTCACTGCAACCCCCCACTGGCCCGGTTCAAGCAATTCTCCTGCCTCAGCCTCCCAAGTAGCTGGGACTATAGTAACATACCACCATGCCCAGCTAATTTTTGTGTTTTTAGTAGAGACAGGGTTTCTCCATGTTGGTCAGGATGGTCTCAATCTCTTGACCTTGTGGCTCGTGGTCCGCCTGCCTTGGCCTCCCAAAGTGCTGATATTACAGGCATGAGCCACTGCACCTGGCCTACTATATTCTTTCTTTTTTTTTTTGAGATGGAGTCTTACTCTGTTGCCCAGGCTGGAGTGCAATGGCACAATCTCGTCTTACTGCAACCTCCGCCTCCAGGGTTCAAGCTATTCTCCTGCCTCAGCCTCCTGAGTAACTGGGATTACAGGTGCACACCACCACGCCTGGCTCATTTTTGTATTTTTAGTAGAGATGGGGTTTCACTGTGTTGGTCAGGCTGGTCTCAAACTCCTAACCTCGTGATCTGCCCGCCTCAGCCTTCCAAAGTGCTGGGATTACAGGTATGAGCCACCATGCCTGGCTATTTTTCCTTTTAAGCGTATCTCTCATTTTGTAATGCATCCTTCAATAGCATGACTATTCATTAAACATTTATCTTCTCTGCAGTTTGAAATTTCTGGGACAATAGAATCAAATATATATTTGTCATGCCATCCTGTGTCTAGCACCTAGCAGAGCGTATGGCTAGATGATAAATGTCTGCTGAATAAATGAATGGTCAAACAAAACCATAGAAACCCAGTGAAATTCAGGACTGGGATCAACCTCTCTTAGAGCTCCTCTTCATTGTGGCACATGTTGACTAGCTAGAGATGTGCAATATATAGCAACTTTGTTCTATTTCACTTACTCTGTGATAAGCTAATTGGCTTCACAAAGTAGGTAAGGCGTCCTGATCGATGCAAAGGAAATATTGGAACCAACCCAAGTCATTTTAAATGTGGATTTCCTTTAAAGCCCTTGGTGACGTCCAGGCCGTCTCATAATGACTAATGCCATTCAGCATCAGTCTAACACTGGGCTCACAGACAGGTCAGAAAAAGGAGCGTCAGGAGAGGTGTGCAGGTCCCTGAAAAGACTCACTCACTGGCCCCAGTTTTCCCAAGAGCCTGTGGTCACCTAGTTCCTCCCAGGTACTCACATACGCCTTCCCGTAGATTCCGGATGGCAGTGACATACTCATAGCCCAGGTACATCTTGGCGTCCATCCTGGGGGGAACTTTGAAAAACCCGTAGGCAGAGTCCTTAAACAGCAGGTCCTTCCCAAGAGGAGAGCCGAACAGTTGGAATTCTTTTGATTTGTCTTTGCCAAAATGTTCCTGTTCATAGAAAAACAGAATAGTGGATGGCAACAGGGAAGAAAGGAGGCTGAGACATGGGACTGAAGAGAAAACAAATCTCTGCAGGAAACAACATGAAAAAGTTCAAGATGCCAGAGAGAGGGCAGTCGGACCTACTCCTGCTCGCCTAGCACCTCTTCTGCCCATAGCCCTCGTGGGACCACAATTTCCTTGAACCTGCTTTTGTGTCTGTCTCCCGGAAGAGACATCAGTGAGAACAAGAAACATGGCTAATCCAGAGGCTGCCCTGTATGGTTGCCAGTCAGACTCTCAGTGGACAGATGGGAGGGCTGGGCAAGAGGAAGGTGGCTGAGCCCAAATCACACAGCTCTCAGGAAGTAAAGCTGCTGTATGAGCAGTCCCCTCACAGCCAGGCTGAGGGACGTGGGGAGAGAGACCATTTCCTTCTGGAAGGGTCATGGAAAGCCTCTTTGGGGAGGGGTTTAGCTTTGGGCCTTGAAGGTCTGGTTTAGGTAGAAAGGAATGGAACAGAGCAATACAGAGCCTCTTGAGATGTCACCAGCCAGAAAGGCATCGATGGCAGACCATGGCACCACAGCTGACTCCGCGCTGCTCTGCGAGGAATCACAGCTTTTAGAGAAGTTAATGACATGCGGCATGGCTCCCACTGTATCCTTAACACACACCAGGAGGAAAATCCCCAAATCCAAGCAGGGAGCACTAAGCCTGAGGGGAGGATGGCAGGTGAGGATACCTGGGCCTGGTTGAGAAGCTCCCAGATCAAGTCCTCCTTGCCGCCCACACTTCGGGCCACGACGGTGTGAGAAGGGACCCGGGCCAAGTGGCAGTCCTTGTATTCATCTACCGGCTTCCGGGTGTTGTCCAGGCAAAGCAGCTCATACTCGTCCCTATCAGCCTTGTTTGCCAAGTTCTCTGGGGAGGGAAAGCCCAGGTGAGCCAACTACAGGAAACCCATGAGCTGTGGTGCCCACCCTTGAAAATTCCATTGATCATAGAAAGTGTGAGCTCAAAGGCCTGGAGTGACCACTGAAGGGCCAGGGAACATGCAGGAGAATGACCTGCTCCAGACCCTATAGCCAGGTAAAGGCTTCTGATGCCCATACAGCAGGTGATTGCCCCCATCCCACCATGAGCCTGACCTTAGCAGGACCAGCCCCCAGTACTTGGTTATGGCAACCCAGACTGCCTACCCCAGAGGCAGAGGCACTGTGTGAAGAGGTTGAATGTTGGAAAGAGGCCCTGGAATCCAGATGGGGACTCCATAGGTACCTAGCTCTGCACAGGTGGAAACTCAGGCAGTGATAAAGGAGAAACACAGTATGTTCATACCCAACTACTAAGCATGAAATAAGGAGCACGGAAAAAGAACACCCACTACTTGGAGGGGCCCTACTGGCTTCTTCTCCATACTTACCAAATATAGTCGAGTGCTTGACAAAGGCCACATCTCCAGCACCATCCTTCAGACACCTGTGTCAAAGAAACACATCAGCAGGTCTCCTGCAGGGCAAGCCCTTCAGCTGCACCTGGAGGGTCTGATCACACTGTCCGGCGCTTACACAAGAACAGAGCGTGGGGAAGGCTCTGTGCAGCCCCGTAGCTGAGGCAGCGCCATGCTGTGCAGAGACCTCCAGGGCAGCACTGAGATGGAGGAATGAGCTCACACGAGATGAAAAGCCCTCATAACCCAAAGAACAAAATGCAGCTGAAGATATTTTCATGTAGAAAAGAGTTTTTAAACTTCTGAAATAGAAGACAATGGTATAGTGTCTCCTGAGGGTGAAAATGTGCCCTTGGCTGGCTGTAAACCTTCAGGATATAATCACAGTAAAAAGAGACAGCAAGAAACGAGCTTCCCAGATCGAGACAGTGATGGGGGCAGGAGAGACACAGAGTGCTGAGCAGGTAACACTGCTGGGATTGACGGAAGAGCGCCAGTCCCTGGAGAGTGGGCCCAGACTAGGGGCATGATTGTCCTTTCAGGCTCTGCCCGATCCGGTGAGAGGAGACACTGACCAGGCTCGAGGGCTCTGGGGAGAAAGGAAGGGCCCCCAGGAAAGGGCCTGCTGGTTGGGGTCAGATGAAAGGGAACATGGGCTGGCCTGACCTAGGAGTCCCAAGTTGTGCTTCTGAGTCACTGGGAGGGGATTAGGCCACTTGATGCCCCGGTGGCAGGCAGGACTCCTGCTGTGGGCCAGCAAAGAACTCTCACCCTGAGGACGTTTGGCACTTTGGCCACCATGGAGCAGCAGATGTCTCACTCACTTGAAGGCTCCTGAGTAGCCGAAGTATTGTTGAAGGGTGGAGCAGCCACACCCTGGACACAGTTGACACAGCTGGGGGAAGGCCGTCCCATCCGCACAGGGGACACAGCTGCCCGAGAAGAAACTGGCCACTGCTACTCAGCACAGAGAAATGGACCACAGAGCATGAGTGAGGCTGGCCACAGCCAATGGCACCACCCCGCCCAGGCCCATCAGGGAACAGAGAGAGACTTAAACCAAACCAGCACATGCAGTCCCAGCTTGCCCTTATCTCATCAAGATCAAGGACTTCCAGTAGGAACAAGTTGCCCTCTGTCTTGCCACCATCCATCCGAGGAAACAGGCCTATGCTTCCCACTAACCATGGCCTCTTTTGAGTCTTTCTCAGTGTACCCTCTCCCTGCTTTGTCAGAGGCTGGAAGAGCTCGGAGAGAGGTCCCCACTGGGATCCATGCTCCAGACGTGGGAGAACTGCCTAGAGAGGTACAGGCCTCCAGAAAAACCTCCAGGAAAGAAATCCAGAAAAGTGGACAAAAGGGCCACCATCATCTAGACTGAAACCCTCCCCCAAGCCTTGCACTATTTCCTTACTCAACAGAAAGCCTCTGCTGGGGTGTTGGGAGCTCAGAGCAGAAAAAGCTCAGCTCCACCCTCAAGCGCTGCTGGTGCAGCAGACCTGCCAGTTTAAAGTCAGTTAACCTCTTTTCCCCACCTAAGTTCATCCCACACGTCTGCTGATGGTGACTGCTGTGACGCCAGTGTGGCCTGTGTGGGCATCTGGAGCAGAGACACCTGCTCGAGGACACCTAGCCTCCTGCCAGCTTACCTTTCTCAAGAGGCTTACGTGGCTCAGGCAAGTCACAGTAAAGTAAGCCTATGGGGATGTTCCACCCGGTGGACCTGCCCAGGCCCGTGTGGCAGGACTTCTTGCCTCGGAGCTCGTTCAGCTGGAAGCCGCTATCCTTCTTCACCACAGCAACAGCATAATAGAAAGTCTGTGGATCTGCAGAGGGGCAGTGTGAATGGAAGGCCCTCAGCGTGGTGCAGGGAAACGTGGCGCATCACCACTGGACTCTTGAGAAGGGAGGGTAGCATAGAGGCCATGCTTTTCCTGGACTGGTCAATGAGGAGGAAGGAATCTGGAAAACCTTCCTAGGCTTGCAGGGGAGAGAGATCATTGAAGGTGTATTTGTAATGTTACCTCTCCAGGCAAACAGTGGCAAGAAGGCCACACACACGTGTCCTGAATACTTTGCCTCCCCTGGCCCTGCAGCGTGTCTTCCTACACCTGCCAACCCCAGCCCACCAGGAAACTGGAGCTGTGGCAACAGAGGCCCATCAGAGTATTTCCTGTCTCCTGGCACAGGCCCAGGGACAGTCAGGTTGATCTCAGAAGACTTGCAGGGCTGCTGGCATCTGAGTGTGTGCTCCAGAGTGACCTCTCCTGTATGTGGTACCTATGGCTCCAGAGGCCTCCAGAAACCCTGGACATATCACTAGACTGCAGTAGCCTTCAGGTCAAGCTGCAAACAGCCTGCTGTGTTTCTCCAGTGAGCACATTCCTGGCCCAGGGGCCAGTGTTCGGAGCACCAGGCATCAGCCAGCCCAAAGCCCACAGAGGCCTCGATGTGTGCTGTGGTGGCCGACGGGGCCCTCATTCCCTGCTCACTCTACAAAGATGAATGTTCATTAGTGTCTAATATTCAATACGTGCCTGTAAAACACAAGACGCAGCATAGAGAATAAGGACAACAACTCCTTCCTGGGTTCCCAGGGAGAACTTACCCTCTTTTGACCCATAGAACTCTGCCACCACAGGCTTCAGGTTATTAGGAGCCAGGGCAGCCTCGTACACCAAACCCGCATCCAGCGTCACTGCGTCTGCTTCGTTTGCCTGAAAGAGAACAGACCAGACCTGGATGACACCGTGGCTTCCAAAGAAGGCCCAACTCAACCCACACAAGTAGAGAGTGGCTACCAGGACTCCACGGGCCCAGGGACAGAAGAACCTTAACTTGACCAGACCATGCATAGCCCTGCTGGCTGTAGTTGACTCTGTCTTATCAAAAGGACACTTAGCCACCAAATTCCTATTCCTTCTACATAGAGGGAGGGATAGACTGTGTTTCTCTTTTCCCTGGTGAGGTTCCCAGCTCCTGGCCAAAAATCCTACGTGACTTTACCATAGGCAATTACCAAGGCTTGACCCGGGAGGCTCCATGGGAGAAAGCCGCCCTCACCACCCCAGACTCAGAGCACAGGCAGTACAACACAGTCTCTGGAGGGGACTGCTGTCAGGATGCAGCTCGCTTGGGGTGGACAAGCTGTTCTTACACCTGTTTTCATTCCTAGCCCACGATCTTTGCTCAGAGGCCTCTTTATTTTGAGACTTCCTTTGAGGTCTTCCTCAGGGGCTTCCGTGGAGATTTTTTTTCTAGGGGAAGATGTAAACCTTGAAAACATTCATCTTCACTCTGACTTGGTACCCAATGCTCTTCCTTCCTGTCTGGGAATCCATAAAACTGCAGGACCCTTTTGCTGAGGGATTGGGCACTTTCTCTGGGTTTAGCTTTTTGGCGAAACTATGTACTGAATGATCGAAAGCTTGATTATTACTTCCATTTCTGCTCTCATCTCTGGTAAAATTGTCTCTGCCAGCACATGGCAGCTCACCTCTCTTTCTATCTCAGCTCCATTTTACAAGTGAGAAGTCTGAGCCACAGAAAGCTTGAGTCAGTTCTCCAGGCCACATAACTAGTAAGTCACGGAGCTGGGATTTGATCCTGATGGTCCGGGTTTATTTCTTATCATTATGCTGTTACTTCAGGTTACGTTTCTTTTTGAATTTGTGCTTCTGTAAACCCTCATCTTTAAATTAACAGGTCCCTTGAAATATTATAGCTTCCTTCGTACTAGATCTATAATTTATTTTCTTTTTATGTAAATCCTTAAAGTGAGCCAAACCATCTTTTATTTAGACACTTAAAAGCATAGTTTTACTCCTTTTTTGCTTTAAATGTCTTTAATCAAAATATTTTTTCCAGAAGCCCTTGGCAGTTTTCTATGAAGATTTCTTATTGATCAAATTACAAAGCAAGCCAGGAGCTCACGCCTGTAATTCCAGCACTTTAGGAAGCTGAGGAAGGCAGATCACTTGAGGTTAGGAGTTCGAGACCAGCCTAGCCAACATGGTGAAACCCCATCTCTACCAAAACAAATAAACAAAAATTAGCCAGAGGTGGTGGTGCATGCCTGTAATCCCAGCTACTCATGAGGCTGAGGCAGGAGAATCGGTTGAACCTGGGAGGCAGAGGTTGCAGTGAGCCGAGATTGCACCACTGCACTCTAGCCTGGGTGACAGCGAGACACTCTGTCTTAAAAAAAAAAAAGCCAAACAAATTATAAAGCAAAAACTATAACTGCCTGAGTTTTGTTGTGTTACTGGCAAGTAATAAGACAATAGTATTTCTAAATGAAGTAAAATATGTTGTAAATCAAACTATATCTTTGTTTAGCTGATTTTTTAAAAAATGGTTAAGATTGTTTTTGCTGTTTTATTACAATAAGATACACATAATACAGAATTCACTGTTGTGACCATTTTCAACCGTACCCTTCAGTGGCATTAAGTGCATGCATAACCATCGCCCCTATCCATCTCCAAACAATCACCTCCTATTTCTCCCCTACCCCAGCCCCTGGGAGTCATTATGCTACTTTCTGTTCCTATAAATTTGACTATTCTAGATACCTCGTATAAGTGGAATCTTACAATATTTGTCCTTTTGTATCTAGCTGGCTTCACCTACGTTTTCAAGGTTCATCTCAGTGCAGCATATATCAGAATTTCATCTATTTTTAAGGCTAAAAATATTTCATCGTTTGTATATACCACATTTTATTTATCCATTCACTCGTCAATGGATATTTGAGTTGTAAAACATATATATGGGCACCCAGAGTGAAACTTTATGTTTTGCTCTTGTTGCCCAGGCTGGAGTGCAATGGCGCGATCTCGGCTCACTGCAACCTCTGCCTTCCTGGTTCAAATTATTCTCCTGCCTCAGCCTCCCAAGTAGCTGGGATTACAGGCACGTGCCACCACACCCAGCTAATTTTTGTATTTTTAGTAGAGACAGAGTTTCACCATGTTGGCCAGGCTGGTCTCGAAATCCTGACCTAATGATCTGCCCACCTCAGCCTCCCAAAGTGCTGGAATTTCAGGCTTGAGCCACTGCGCCTGGCCGTAAAATGTATTTTTAATATACCACAATATAACAAAAAATTAAGAGACATGATGGGCCTTTCTGTTCTACAACAACTAGACGTCAAGTATAAAACACACTTTATGGTTTTGTTTAATCTGCAAACACCTTCTTCTTCCCACCCCTCACATTGTTGAATAAAAATGAAGCAAACAAGTGAGAGCTTTGCCCAGTGCAGTGGGGTTGGGAGCGTAGTCAGGAACCTGGGCTTTCTTGGCCAAGACACCAGGAAATCACTGGCATCTCAGGGGCTCAGGGAGCTGAAGAGCTAAGGCCTAAAACACAGGGTCCAGCTCTAGAGTTCTCAGGGGAACCTTCACCAGCTGGGAGGGACAGGATTATAATCAAGCATGCTCTCACAGGTCAAGATAACCAAACCCGGGAGAAGGAAAGCCACAGAGAGAGGGCTGGCGGGAAGCCAAGGGGAAGCCAGCAGGAAGAGACTGGTAGAGGAGGAAAACCCCACAGCACGGATTTCTGGAGGGAAGCCAGGTTCATCTGGATGTGTCTACCTCTTCCACCTTTTCCCTTTGGCCAGCCTCCTGCTTGCTTTGTGCTGAGAACTGCAGAATTTCCCACACTTAACAAGTCTGTCCAAACCCCTGCACTAAAAGACCTGACCAAACTCTGGCATGGCTCCCAGCAGAACAAATCTGTGTCCCTAGGATGGCCCCAGTTCCCCTTAAAGTGCTTGCCTGAGAAAACTCAATGCTTCCAGGAAAATGTACCTGTTTCTTCTAGCCAACACACAACTCATGACAGGCCCCTGACCTCCCTCTCCAAAAGCATTTACTAAAAAGGGCTTAAATCTGTGAATATGTATCTCTTGAAACTCACAAGCATCTCTCTCAAGGACTGAGAGCCATTCCTTTGCAATACAATCATCAGGATGGATAGGGCATCTGTCTCCCAGTCTCTGCTAGAGAATAAAGTCCTAATCAAGAGAATTGCCAGCTAGCAGATACAGCTGGCCTCCCCACATTTACACTGACCAGCCCTTCCTACCTTTTTACTTCTCTGACTCTATGGAGCCCTGCGTTTTCCCCTCCCTCATTCTCCCTTTAAAATGCCCACATCATGCTGCACAAGTCAGAATGGAGCGCAGCTCTTTCTCCCACTGTCAGTAGTTACTGAATGAAACCTATTGTCACTGCCTAAACTAATACCTGGCTGTGCTTGTCCTTGGCAGCTCCCATCACCCTGGCTTCCCCCTAGCAGCTTAAATAAGCCCGCTCTGCCCTGGCTTAGGCCCTTTGCATATGCTGTTGTTCACTGCTTGGTATATTTTACACTGGAGCCCACCCAGGCTCAGCCTTTGGGTCTCAGCTTCATTATGTCCCTCTCAGAGAGACGGTCCCTGACCACCCAGGACAAAGCAGGTTTTTCTGTGAGTCCCCATGAGAACACTCTCTTCTTTCCCTCCATTGTACATCCCACATTTTGGAATTAGTTGTTTACTTATTTGTGTGTTTTTCTGCTCTCCTGACTAGGCTGTGAGCTCCCTAAGGGTAAGGACCAGTGTGTTTAATTCACCACTGCAGCCCCATTGCCCAGCACAGGATCTGACATGTACAGAGGGGTGGGGCAATGTTGAGAGGATGAAGAACATTTTCATAAACCTAAGAGCAAAGGGCTCAGCAGTCATCTGCAATCAGGACACTTCTCTTCCCCCTGCGTGCATCACTCATCTTCCCAGCTATGTATCAAGAGCTTCCAAAGAAGGTTATAAAATAATTTTGATAATGGGAATTCTTTTTTTTTTTTGAGATGGAGTCTTGCTCTGTCACCCAGGCTGGAGTGCAGTGGCAGGATCTTGGCTCTCTGCAACCTCCACCTCTCAGGTTCAAGCGATTCTTCTGTCTCAGTCTCCAGAGTAGCTGAGATTATCATCATGCACCACCATGCTCAGCTAATTTTTGTACTTTTTAGTAGAGATGGAGTTTCACCATGTTGGCCAGGCTGATCTCAAACTCCTGAGCTCAGGTGATCAACACGCCTCAGGCTCCAAAGTGCTAGGATTACAGGCATGAGCCACCGCACCCTGCCTGATAGTGGGCATTCTTGTATTTTTCCCGAGTTCAGAGAACTTAGTGTCTCAAAACAGTCACCCTTGTGTCTACTGTGTCTGGAAAGCAAAAGTCAATGGACTTTTCGACTTTTGCTTTCCAGACATATTAAAGATGACCTCCCCTATTTCCATTTTTGAAGTGATTTTAGTAAGAGGGTTGACTTCCCCATACATCAGCCTCCTATGTGTGAGTGGATAATTGTTCCAAAGTGACTGGAGACTGAGAAAGTTCAGCTTTCTTCCACTCCCTTTTAGGCAGCAGCAACTTACCGCAATGCCCTTGATGCAATCAAGGTAGGAGGCTTTCTTCACACAAGCAACACGGGGACCATCGGGTGGAAGAACACTTTTCATATGGTCACGGAAACTGTGGCACTTCGTGGCCTCATGCTCTGACACTGCACACCATCTCACAGTTTTCTCAGGGACAGCCAGACACAGCTCTGGGGGAGAGAGGCCAGAGATGGAGGGAGGGACCCACTCCCTGTGCTGAGGGAGTGACAGCATCGCCCCGAGAAGGCCACACCCCCTCGGTCCTGTCCTCCCCTCACTCCTGTCCACGTACACTACAGGGCACAAGTTCACTGCATTCTGAGACTGGGCCAATAGAAGGTTGCCCTAATGGCCTCCCAGTTTCCTGCTGACCACCCCCTGCTGGCCAGAGGGATGCAGGCATGACCGTCAGCTGCCAGTTAGAGATGACAATCTGCTCCTCTGTATCTGCCTTGTCTCCCCTCACTGTCCTGGCCCCTGGCCTGCCATGGAATGCAAGCCTCAGTGCGCACAGGGCATTTTCAGCTACCTCAACACACTGGCTTGATACCGCAACAACGGAAAACCAGGAGGGGAGGAATTCCATCTTTTTGAGAAGGGAGTGAGACTCAGAGAATGATGCCTTCCCCCCCCCCGCCCCAAGGTCATCTTCTTGTTGGCCCAGCCAGGCCTAGAACCTGGGTCTCCAGACCCTGGGTCTGCTACTCAGGGCACAAAAAAAGAAAACGTTCTGAGTTCTTTCACCCTTCGGCCAGTAGCTGAGGGTAAATTAACAAAAAGATAATTAATTTGTCTGTGACATTGTCTGTTGCTCTCTGCTTAGGAATATCTAAAAAAAACAAAACCCAAATTCAACGGTCTCCCCTCTGTTCCCACTGAATTCTCCCTGCATTTTCACCACACTTTTAGGTGGCCATTCAGAAAAAAAATCTGAAGCCAGCCATGGGCAACTATGAAAATCCATGTGGTTGGAGAGAGAACATCCCTATCACATGGGCTTTTGCCCGGTCCCCAAGGTCCTCTGTCATCTCCACTCCTTGTGGGCCACCACAGCAAGGCAGATTCATGGGCTCTGATGAGATCCACAAAGCCTGTGGAGGGGAGGCCCACAACTCTCCAGGATGCATGAAGAGGGGCTACCAGGGACTGGACACCCCAGCGCCCCACATTATCTCCCTTGGCCCATGGGAAATCCTAGGAGGCAACATGAGTCTGTGGCAGCCCCTCCGAAAAGCCACGCCTCCAGGGTTCCCGTAGAGGAGAATGTGTCCTCAACGAGCATCACCTTGCACAGCTTGTGAAGTGCTCTGTTCGAGGATAAAGGCTAGTGCTGTGCGGTCCTCTCTCGAGGAATTGCTTGCTTACAGGCAGAGACAACTAAGCGTGGAAGCCCCAGCAGTGCGACAAATGCCCCATGAATGGCAGGCAGAAGTTGGAGCATGAAAGGGGCCCCACCTCAGGAGGTCCGGGAGTGAGGCGTCAGTCAGTCACTGCCGCACAGCAGGATGTATGCAGCATCCGCCACTGGTGCCCGGCATCCAACACCTCACTGACTCTTACCTGACCCTCCCAGGCAAGTGCTGTGACGACCCCTCCCTGGTGAGGAGCCGGCCAGGGTTTGGATCCAAGAAGTCTGGTTTCAAATCCATGCTCCAACCACTCTATGGCACTGCCTCCTTGGCAGGGCATCTACAGCTCCCAGGGCAGCCAGGGGACATCAGACTCTTAAGTGGGGAATGGTCAGACCCGGAGGCCTTGAATGCCATGCTAAGGAGTTTGGACTTGACAAGAGGCAGCAGTAAAGGGTTTTGATAATCTGGTTAGACGTGCTCTGGTTTGTTGTATTTCACTGCTGCAACATTTACTGAACAAAGGAGGAGGAGGAGGAGGAGGCAGTGAGCGCAGTGAAAGGTATTCTGAGGCCCAGGCAGAGGCCAGGGGTGAGGGGCAGAGGGGCAACGGAATGGTACCCGAGCTTCCTGCCCGAGCGCGGAGTGCAGGCGGCGCGGTGGCCGGCCAGGTTGCAGGGGACGCGCAAGCGGGCGCCTCTGTGGTGCTTCCCGGCGCCCGCACTCACCCAAGACGGCGCAGGCCAGCAGCGCTCCCACGGCGAGCCTCATCCTCGCGGTGCTGCGCGGAGCGGCGAGCGCAATCCGACTCACTTCTGTGCAGCCTCCCGCGCCCGCGCCACTTTATCCCCGGCCTGGGCGGGCTGGGGGCAATCTTTGACCTCCCGTGTTTGTGCAGCCTGGTTGCCCAATCGCCCCTCTCCCGACCCCCCTCCCTTACTCGCCTCACTGATGACCTCATTTCCTGAGCTCTGGGGCCGACCCGCCAGTGGAAGGAGTCCAGCACAGAAATGCTGATGAGAAGGGACAGGAAGCACAATCCAGCCATTGTCATCGCGGCTCGCTCGGTGCCAGGAGCGGCTACGGTGGGCTAGGAGCCGATGGCTCTGCTCCTGACTCCAGGGAGGCCGAGCTGGTCCGGGCCACCAGCCCTATCCGCGCGACCCACAGAGGGTGACTCCGAGGCTGGAGAGGGAAAAGAACTGCGCCCACACCACGCTAGAACTGGAGAATAACAGGCAAAGCCCCTTTTGGGTGAGGATGCAGGAGAAACAAGCTGGGCTCAGGGTCAAAGACAGGCTCAGCACCTTTTGCTCCCCACCAGGTGTCCCTGGAAATCTCGCTCCTCGGCCCTCCAAGGCCCCCCGCAGAGGAGCTGCTCCCTCTTCCTGCCCTGCTGAGCTCAGGCTCTTGGGCTGGAAAACTTCCTGCCCTCAAGCTTCCTGTGGGACACCTTAGACTAGGAACAGAGTCAGAGGGGAAGATGAATTCCCTCCCACAAGAAGCTTCCAGGAACGTGGTCAAGACCCTGTGAGGCTCAGAACAAAGCGCCTTCTTAGCACAAAGCAAGCCCCTGTGGAGGGTGTGGCTTGTTCTTACAGCCTGGGGCCACCGTGTCCCCCTCCAACCCATGAGTCTCCTAATCGGTTTAAGTGCACATCCTTATAAGAAAAGTATTGAACTTGTACCTTCTATATGCTCATATTTTAACTTAAAAAATGTGTACACTTCAATCATGCACAGGGAACAGAAATTTCTAAAAGGATGAAACCCGAATGTCGTTTTGCTTATGGGGGCTTACATAGGATTATCATCTCAAGGCACAGTATACTTGGAGAAAGGTCAAGGTTCCTTCCACGAAGTGTGTCCAGACTTCAGAGATTTTGCCAAAAGTTCCTTCTTATCCAGCCTGACAGATGGTCATTCATTCCGTCTCATGTTTCAGCTGACCAAGCTCATACCAAGCCTAGTATACATGTCAGGTCACCCATTTGATTTTTGTTCACTTGTTTTTCTGTTGTCAGAATTATCTCCTAATGCTAGTTTCTTTGTAGGAATCTTTTTAAGGCATGTGTGCATCTAGTGAGGGCTGGAGAGTTAAAGCCAGATTATCTAACCTGTATATACGTTTAGCTGGGCACATACAAACCACAAAATGTGGAAACAAAAATGCCGAAACAAAGGGCAGGGTCGGCACTCCCCTCAAAATCTATAGCATTGTGAGGTGATTCCCATCTTCCCTAAGGGCACCTCGAAGCCTCCATCTGTCCTGACTGCAGACTCAGATGGGAGATGGGGCCAATTCACACGTTCAGCGTGAGTGAATGATAATCTGTTAATCTTTTGTAATAAAAATAAATACAACTGGAAGTTAGGTTATGTTCTCTCACACCCCAAAAGATTATCTCATATGCAAAGGGGTTACACACCTCCCACTTTAAAGTCAACTGCAGAAGCTTTCTGTTTATAGTGGGGACAGAGGCAAACCTGGCTTTCCCAACACACCAGCCTCCCCAGTGAGGAAGGGTGACCACTGCTGCCCTGTCTTACTCCCCCCTGCCCTGTCCATGGGCCCCTTGCGCTTAGCCATGGGGAAAGAAGAATATGGCCCTCTTGCCATGAGGGCCATATTCCTACTGCCCCTGCTGCAGGCCCTAGGCAATGGTCTGGAGTCATTTGGAGACCCTGAGGTATGGATGTGAGATGAGCAGGAAAAGTCAGGGGCAAGGCTAGCTGGGAGGCACCTGGCAAAGCAGCATGCACACATAGAGCTGATGCATGGACAGGCCCTGTAGTAAGCGTGCAGGGTCTGCCAGAGAGCAGGAAGTGCAGTTACCAAAGGTTGAGTTCATGCCACAAACTCAGGGAAGCTCAGCTCAGGGCATGGAAACAAGATGGTCAGTGATTCTCCTTCCCTGGAGCCCTTCTACATTCATAGAGTAAGTATCTCTGAGGCCACTCCTCCAGCCACAGGCCCATAGCCTAGTCAGAGCCCCTCAGCAGGGAGCAACCCCTGGCCAGGCTGAGTCCTCTCCAAACCAGACAACTCTATGCCCTGTCCTCAGTGGGGTCCTTTGATTCCAAGCCCAGAACAGGTGCTGAGAAGGATGTACACAGCCTCATGGGATATGAAGGAAGCTCAGACAAGGCATAGAGAGCTGGTTCTCCCACTTCATCTACACACACCTGGACAGGGAGATCCAGGGCCTTGGCTCGTGCTCAGGAGGACAACAGCAGAGCCTTGTGTTTGCCATTCCTTGGGTGGGGTAGACAGGGGAGGTGAGGCTAGCTTTGGAGTGTACATGTGCATGTGGCCCTAGCTATATGGGGTCCCTATGTCTGTATATGTCTTTAGGAGCATGTGAAGTAAGAGGTTCACATGACAGTGTTCCATGTCCATGACACTTGTACCTGTACTGTCACTTACATTCTTCAATTCTATACCAGAGATGCTCTGGAGTTGAAATTCACAGTCCCTTTTTATAGCTTAATGATGGCTGAGACTTATTGGGAGTTTTGCTGACCACTTACCATAACCCTCTGACTTCGGTGCTTTAGTATCTGCATCTTACACATGAGACAAGGATACTGAGTACCACGGAGTATGATACCTTGTCCAAGATCAGCTGCAAAGTCAGAATACAAAAGAAGGCAGTCTGGTTCCAGAGTGTGCACACCCACCAGGGACACTGCCTCTCCCAGGAAACCAGGACACTCAGGGGCCAAGGAGCTCATCTGGGGTCACATCTAGAGAGGGACACACATGAGACTCCCAACCTCGCCATGTCTCCACTGGCACACGGCCCCCAGGGCTTTGCCAGCACAGGGGCTAGTCAGTCTGGGAGAGGTCTGAGTACCAACTGCAGATCCTTAGCCATGGACTGGCTTGATTGTGCTCAGCTGGAAGAAAATATCATGTTTTTATCCCCTTCTATGTGTCAGGCACTGTCCTGGGGCAAGACCATTGAGGCACGATTGTGGGATCTTGCCCAGCAGTCCTGCAAGATAAGATCAGTACCTCCATTTGTGAGATGTGGACATTACAGTCAAATGATGTGTCCTTATTCATGGAGCTCTGAGACCTGAACTCAAAATTCCTAAATCTCAGTCTTCTCCAGACCACAGTTGCATTCTTGATATTGACCTCCTCTTTATTTATTTAGTTGGGGAGAAAAGAAAGGGGGGCAGGTGAGAGAGAAAGAGAAAGAGATTGAGAGAGGACATAAAGGAAGCTTCCAGTTCTAGACCAACCCAAGCATGAGCCAAATCTTTCACCACAATCAGGGCAAAACTCTTAAATTTCAACCATGAGTTGACCCTTAAAGAAATAGCCACACTTGTGTGTACGTGCAGGAAAGCTGGAAAAGCTGACCAGCAGGAGGCGGGTAAGAAAGCGGTGGGCTCTGAAACAATATTTGTTGTTTCCAAATGTTGCCCAATTGACACAGAAGCAAAGCAAACAAAGAGCCTCTGTCTGCTTTGAGCAGTTCCTCCTCCCCCTCAGTGTCCTCTGCCTGACACGAGGTTAATAAATATTTACCAAATTGGGTTTCTTCCAGCAATGTAAGCTGTCTTTTCAAGTATCAATCACTGTAATATATCATATTAGTAGAATAATGGAGGAAATTGGTATGACCCTATTACTTAGTATAAGAACATCATTTAATAAAATTCAGTATCCATTCATAACAAAACCACTTAGCAAACTTATTCTACAAAACTTTCTCAGTCTGATATCAAGTATTTGTGTACCGTAAAAATCTACAGATATCATACTTAGTGTGGAATGTTGAATAAAGCTTTCTTGTTGAGATCAGCAATAAGACCAGAATGTTTATTACTATCATTTCTAGTCAACCTTTTTTCTGGAGGCCCTTGTCAGTCCAGTCAGGCAAGAAAAAGAAATAGTAAGTAAAAGGACTGAAAAGGAAAAAAATAAACTCTCACCTTTATGCATAATAAATTGTATGTGTATAAAATTCTGAAGAAACTAGAGTATACTTAGAATAATGAGTTAAGGCCGGGCCTGGTGGCTCACGCCTGTAATCCCAGAACTCTGGGAGGCTGAAGCAGGCGGATCACTTGAGGTCAGAAGTTTGACACCAGCCTGGCCAACATAGCGAAACCCCATCTCTACTAAAAATACAGAAATTAGCCAGGTGTGGTGGAGTGCGCCTGTAGTCCCAGCTACTCAGGATGCTGAGCTGGGAGAATCACTTGAACCTGGGAGGCAGAGGTTGCAGTGACCCTTGATTGTGCCACTACACTCCAGCCTGGGTGACAGAGTGAGACCCTGTCTCAAAAAAAAAATAGAGCTGGATAAGGTAGATAAATATACCAAAGTCAGTTATATTTCTACACTCAAAAATTGAAAAAAAAAAAACATGAAAAATGCTACCTAAAGTAACATAAGGAAAACAAAGGCCTAGGAATAAATCTATCAAAAGACATCTAAAACTTTTATACACCAGACTATAAATTAAGAAAAAGTAAATGGAAAACTGTATCTTGAACATTGAGTGGAAGACTTGATATTATAAAGATCTTGCTTTTCTTCAAATTGATGTATAAATTCAATGTACTCCCAGTCAAATTCCAAATATTTTTTCATGTAAATTAACAACATAATTCTAAAGTTTGTAAATGAAATGCAAAAGAGACTGGACACAGTGGCTCATGCCTGTAATCCCAGCACTTTGGGACGCTAAGGTTGGCAGATCACTTGAGGTCAGGCGTTCAAGACCAGCCTGGCCAACATGGTGAAACCCCATCTCTACTAAAAATACAAAAATCAGCTGGGCATGGTGGCACGTGCCTGTAGTCCTAGCTGCTTGGGAGTCTGAGGCACGAGAATTGAGAATCACTTGAACCCAGGAGGTAGAGGTTGCAGTGAGCTGAGAACATGCCTCTGCACTCCAGCCTGGGCAACAGAGCCAGACTCAGAAGGAAGGGAGGGTTAATATTTCACTTATTCTTCCTTCCCTACGTTTTTTCTGAATAAAAGTTGTCATATTGTTTCTCCCATAGAAGTATGCATCTCTAACATATAAGAAATTTTACATAACCTTAATGGGTTTTTTTGAGACACAGTCTTGCTCTGTCACCCAGGACAGAGTAGAACGGCATGATCACGGCTTACTGTAACCTCAACCTCCTGGACTCAGGCAATCTTCCTCCCTCAGCCTCCTGAGTAGCTGGGATTCCAGGCATATGCCACCACGCCCTGCTAATTTTATTTTTTTTTTTAGTAGAGATGAGGCTGTGTTGC